AAAAACATTATGATGAGTTAGAATATCCAAGAACTTATCCAACTAGGCAACTTCTTAAAATTCAGCTTCCTATACCCAAGACTGCATTGACGCAAAATTCACTAATTTATAAAAGTAGGCAAATTTTTAATCATCTGCCTGTTAACTTAAGGCAGATAGGTGGTTTTAAAAAGTTTAGACTAGAGCTCAAAACATTTTCACATGGAAAAGCCTACTATCATATTAATGAATTTTTAAATGAAAAATTTTAATTTTGTTTGTTTCATTGTTTTGTTTTGTTCTGACCGCAACCTTTATGTTTTTTCTGTATTGGCTGTACCTTCTATATGACTCTATAGTTTGATGTAGTAAAAATTGTACATGTGTTGCTTAGGATTATGCTTTGACATTTATGTTTATGTTTATTTTTTATTTTATTGATTGTACCTCTTTTTTTTTATAACCCGATAATTTTTAATTACTTGCACATTATTTGGGATCATGCTTTGTCAATGAAATTTATTTTCCGACAATAAAGTATATTTTGATTGATTGAAATTTAAAGTTGGTTTATGAAAATCTTAGATAAGAATGTAAGATCGGTTTTCCTCTAAAATTAACCGTTTAGGTTTTACAGCCTGTCAAAGTTGCAAAAAAGGAAATTTTTAACTGTCAATGTTTCCAAAACACTTCAACTTAGGTATTAAAATTTATTTAGTACCAAAATGTATGGAATTAAAAACCCTCCAAAATGATGTGTCACTTGACCCCCTTCCCATTTAAGATTTTGTAGGTGGTTGCACTGGGGGCTGAGGGGAGGTGAATTTTGCATAAAAACTCATCCCTCTTCAAATTATAGATGACATGTTTCAGGTATTTTTTCAAAAACTTCAACTCCGGAGATAATAGGGGTGGTAGGTTTTAAAATCAACACCGATTTGCGTAAGGCCGGTCGTCCTTTGGATGCGTTTTCGTCCAAAGTCTTTACCTAGGTACTTAGTTGTTGGACGGCGATTGTTAAAAAAAAAGTGCTGGGTTAGGTAGTGATCAACCACTCACGGAAAAACATACAGTTATTTCCAGTTTCTGGAAATACATCTCAAATTTGTGCAGTATTTCCCTCGGCATTCCCAAGTATTCCCCCTCGTGTTTCCCGGTATTTCCAAGTACAGTCAGCTTTGAGCATGTTTAACCATAAGAGAAAGATGTTGTGAAGGTAAGCCAGGTTTGTTCTTAGCTTAGAAATGCAAGTAATGAAAACAGCTTGGGTTCTAGTTGCCCAGGTGAAAATACGTCCAGAGGCAACTGGAACGTATATGATGTGGCCAACTGGAACATGTTACACCTGAAATTAACATTGTATTGAACAAATTCTCGTTTTCTCTAGAGTAGAGCAAATATGCGGTCAGGAATTATATCCGTAGAAGCTCCAAAAGTGCGGACGGTGGAAGATACTCCAAGTTGGCTCTGAAAAAAACCAATTAAAGATGTCCAAAACGCTAAGAGAACAATTTACGGTGCTGCCGTTTTCTATGACATCCCAAGATCACCAATAAGACTCTTTGTATTTGGAGCAAGAGAAAAAGGTATATTGTCGGTAGCAGGATAAGGTGGTGGAGAAATATTTGAATGAAGTAGAAGAAGAGCTGTCAACTGTGCTGAACACCATGCAGAAATGGATATATAGATTATTTACAAAAAAAAAAGTTTCTTATTTTATTTTTTGTTCATTCTACCATTCTCATTAAACATTATTTCCTCACCACTAAGTAATTTTTGTTGCATCTCCAATGATTCCCATAATTTTGGAGCCAAAAAAACAAAATTTGGTAGGATCTTTACATACATATACGCTACAATATGTTCTAGTCGCCTCAGAATTATTACTATGTGAATGCATAAGAAAATGGGGGTCACTGTTTCAGTTGTCTCAAAATTAGGATAACTGAAACAGTTGACCAAAAAAAATTGGAACACTTAAGCAGAACAAAGTGGAACACTGAACCGGAACAAACCAGAACGAACATGCACGCAACTCTTGAGATTTTAATGAAAATGCACAAAAATATGTTAAAAGTGGGGTTGGAAGTTTACAAGTACTTCCATGTATTTCCAAATTATTCCCATGTACTTCCAGAGTATTTCCATATAATTCCATATAAAGGATTTCCAAGTATTCCTAAGTATTCCCAGAGTATTACCAAGTATTTCTAGGTATTCCCAAAATACTTCCAGCAAAGTGTACAATGATTTCCATGAGTGATTTACCCCTCGGTAATGATATTTTAGCAAAACAAAAACAATTCGGGGAATTTCAACGCAATTCAACTGCCACAATTTTCTCTGCATTTCTCTCATGATTTGGATCCGGTCATCAATTTTTCGATAAAACCGTTAACCGCTTCCAAAGGATGACCGGCCTAAGCCATTTTTGACATATTGTAAGCTTAAATTATAAATAATTCGCAAAGAAATTTCATAAGGATGTCTAGAGATTTAAATCTTTATAAAATTTCTTTGCATTTTATTTTTAATTTAGGCTACTACTATTGTGTAAGTATGATTCAATTAATTTAAGTGGTGTACCCCGTATACCTTTTTCCTCTAGTCTTTCCAATAGAATTGGGTGTGCCACAGTATCAAATGCCTTCTGCATATATACAGGGTGTTCCTAAATATCATGTACAAAAAGAAGCAAGGGATTGTTTGGTTTATTTTATGACTAAAACAACGATCTACAGGGTGTTGAAATTTTAATATATTTATATTGGAAATGAGCAAGAATATGGCGGCGAGGGCGTGGCTTACTTCTAGATTCCTATCTGTAGATTCTGGCAAACGTTTGACAGTGCAATCATTCAGCTCCTATTGCGGAACCTATGTCCCAAATTTAAGCTAAATCCCTCAAAAATTGCAGGAGCTTTAAAGAAAAAATATTAAAATTTTAACACCCTGTAGATCGGTAACGAAGCGTTTGCGGACCTATGTTTATTAGAAGTTTTAGTCATAAGATAAACCAAAGAATCACCCCCTTTCGTTTGTACATGACATTTAGGAACACCCTGTATATTTGGTAACAGAAAGAAAAGATCTTCCATTTTATCGCATAAGATACAGGATGTCCCAATACAAAAAGTTGAAATTGTCTATGTTTCTCCATTTTCTGATTTAACGTTAAAAGATGATATAGAAAAAAATGAGGAAAAAAACTTCCAAGTTTTATATGTAAATTTTTTTCTATCTTAAGTGAAGAGTGAAGGCTGTAGGTATGGGCTTAAATATAATCAATGACCCTGTACCCTTTTTTCGAAATGAATTTGATAGAAGAAGAAAAGGATAAATTGCCTGATTGAGACTAATTTTTTGTATTTATGCTGCTTAAAACTGCAAAGAACTCCAAAATAACAAAAGGTTCAAAACTGGAAAAACTTCTGACAATTTTCATTATGTTACTACCAAAAACTAGAAACATGGGATTCAGAACAGTTCTTCGAATATACAAGAAGGATAGTCCTTCTTGTTTTTGAATCATTTCGAGAAACTTTGAAATCCAAAAAATCAAAATAATCTCTCCCATACAATGGAATTTACGTAAAAATCATGTGTAAAACCCTTTCGATTGGCGCTTTCTAATATGCTAGGAACGGTGGACGGAAAAAAAAATTTGAATTGGTGTCTGACCCTGACGGAATAAAACGGCCAGTAGTAATATTTTCTTGGGTCAAGTTTCGACATATTTATCTAGTAGTTCAGTTCGGTGCTGCCGCCTCCGCCGATTTTGCAATTCATCTACCAAATTGCTCTCGAATTTTCAATTTTTTGTGATTTTTTCAAATAACCGTAGTTTTTTCAGCGATTTTTTCCTTAATAATTGTCCAAAATAAGCATATCTAGTGTATATTCGAAAAAAATGAATATCCGTGATACCTCAAATCAACCAGAACGCTGAAAGCGAATTGAACCACCCAAAACAAAAACAATCAAAAACATGTAGCCAAATGTCAGTTTCTCAATCGGTCGCTCACGGAACTTTGCGATCCTTTTCGAAAACTTAGGCCGTAACGTAAGAAATAAAATTGAATCATTTCTTACGACTTACAGGTTAAAGCTCAATTTATAAACTCGCCGTCGGGATTCCGTTTGCATCTGCGTTTGCGTCGGCCTACTCGGCCTCGCTGGTTACCGTAGTCTCTATGCTGACGGCGAACTGTGAGGAGGCCGACGGCGAGTATAAACGATCCTATGGGATTTCTAGTGTTCAATTGGTAACGCCGTGCTCAAACGCAAACGCAGACGGAATCTCAACGGCGAGTTTATAAATTGGGCTTAAATCATGGTCAGAGGTTGCACTAGAATTGTCTACATATATTGATCTATATGTTTTTTTTTTTTGAGACTTGTGGTTAAGTCTTAAGTTGCGTAAGCTCTTTTTTACTAAAGAGATATATATTATTAAAAATAAATACTAAACTAATCTAACCTCACATAAGGACAGGGACACTCACTTCACGCCCAGGGACCTGTCAAGGCGACTTGTATTGACAAACAAATAGGCCACGGAAAGGACACATAAGGGAAGCTAAACTAACTATTAAAAATCTATCTATCGATTTATAATTTTAAATTTTACAGCTGTAGATTAGACTCGTGTACAAAGGTCATAATGATATTATTAATATGCGTATCAGATTGAGCTAACAAGTTGAGAATGTTAAAAGGGCTTTGTATGTTCTTAACTTGGAAAAGGTTTTGAAAAAAGTTTTCTCTTTGTTGTGTGTATTTTAAGCATTGAAAAAACAAATGATTTAAGTCGGAACGAACATAACAGAAGTCACATAGGTCCGAATTGCTTATTTTAATTTTAAAAAGGTGTGCAGGAAAGCACGCATGCCCAAAACGAAGTCTATTGATGGTTGTAATATATTTTCTAGCTACATTCATCTCATCATACCTGCGTAAGCTCTGAATCTAGCTTTATTGGAAGCAATTGTTTATCCGCATACTCAAACTTCTGATTTTAGAGTGGACGTGCCACGGGCAGAATCCAACAGTACTCTACAGATTTTGCTCCTATAAGCATACTGTCTACTTCTACTTCAAGTCCCGCTCCTGTAGCACCAGCTGGTACATCTAGCTCTACTGAGCCGCCTCCACTGACCGACGCGACACTGAAATCGATCCCGAGCTCCTCGAAGAACAAAAAGAAAGGTATACCCAAAAGTCACATGACCACCAGAGACTTAGGCCGTTGGAAGCCAGTCGACGATCTAGCCCTCATTATTGGCATCGAGCAAGCTAACGACATTGACATCATTTGTGCGGGCGTTAAGTTTTCCTGTAAATTTACCAAGAAGGAAATTACAGCACGTTGGTTCGCGCTGTTGTACGATCACGCAGTGTCCAGGGTAGCTGTTCAGAATATCAGGAATTTACATCCGGAAGTATTTGCTGCTGTCCAACGTAAGGCATTGTGGAGCGAAGAAGAGGATAGGATATTGGGGACCATTAAATCGGTAAGCTGCTTTTCAGAATAATATAATAAAAGGTGGTTATAAAATGTATATCAATGTTTTCGTATTCAAGTCCCCATGTAAATGAGAAATATGATCTCGAAAAAAGATCATTTTTTTCAAGAACAAAAAAATGGATTTTGCTGCTTACATAAGCTTAGATTTACTTAACTAATGCTAATATTTTCAATTAAGTATTTTCCATTAGGCTTAGTTTTTGATGATCTTTATAACTGACACCCTCTTAAGCCACATTTATTAAGCCTGGTTTCTTTGCTAAATCCCAAAAAACACTAGCATATTTTCCCCAATTTCCCCTTGATCAAAGAGATCCTATAACTGCAATACAATTTAATATCTGAAAATTACCTACATTGCATATCAAATCTTGTCAAACAAAAAATAAACTTATTCTCTTTCTAATTGATCGAATGGGTTCCTTTTTGGAAGCGTATTAAACATCGTAACGTCCACCTGACGCGTACCGTGTGTCAAAATATAATGTCAGCACAAAATATGTATATGTCGCAGGCTTAATGTGAAATCAGTCTTATTATAATACGTCTACGCTTTTTCAATACGACTAGGCGTATTGCAATACTACCCAAATAATTAGGAATCACACAATTTGACTGATAATTTCAGGCTTATTATAATACGCCTGCCGCTCGCTAGTCTTATTGTTAAAATGAACCTGCAAGCGATTATTTTCCAATCCGACTAGATAAAATTCGTCGTATTATAATACGACTGACAGTGTGTCAGTCGAATAATAATAATTATTATTGTTGAAAAATTAAGAACTCTTGATATCGGCCAAAATATTGCAATTGAAGTTCCTAAAGTAGATAGAGGACCACTGGACCGAAAAAATACACTGCAGAGCATAAAATTAGGGTCACCCTATAATTTGCAATTATTTTTAAAATTTTTGGTGTTTTTTTTTTGGTGTAAAGTTCACTAACTTTATGCGATGATTTTGTCGTAGTTGCTTGAATTTAAAAAAGTTCTTGTTGTTTTGCCCCAAGTTTTGCTTGCAAATTATGGGATGACCCTAATTTTATACTCGGCAGTGTATATTAGGAACTGTAGTGAGTATAACGAATGGAGTATGGAGTTTATGAAATTGGTATACCATACCAATGTTGAATCGATGGTTTTTAAGAGAAGAAATCACTGACTGCCAAAGTAAGGAAATAGATTGCATTCCACAAGGAAAAACAGGTTCTTTAATAAATGTTTATGTTTTAAAGCTCCTATGAAATGTAGTAGCAAATGCCATGAAAGCGGATCATGCTGTAATAAATAATTCAAATCTATAATTTGTATTTTATATAGTTTAAACTCTTTAAAATTTATGTTAAAGTATTGGGTGTACTTTTTATTATTTATGCTACAGAGATGAAATTTGAAAAAAATACTTAAACTTTGGTAATTTAAATGTCTATTTAGCATAAAGAATAAGAAAGTTAGTGTTCAGTACAATATTATCGACCAAAAGGCGCATTGAAAGTTTTATTCAATACAATTCGCCTGATGCGCCATTAGTCGTATTATAATACGACGGATTTCATCTAGTCGGATTCTAACGCAGGTTCATTTTAAGAATAAAACTAACACGCAGCAGGCGTATTATAATTCAATAATAATAATCTAATATGTAAGAATCAATGTTTTTTTTGTTGGTTTGTTCGTTGTTCATGGACTTCGAAACCGCTGAACCGATCTCCTTGAAATTTATACCACATAGTCCTCTATAAAAAGGACTTTTATAGGCTACTTTTTATCCTGGAAAATGCACAATTCCTGTGGGATAGATATGAAGCGTGAAGATTGGGTTACTTTCAGTTCGCTTGAGTTAGTTTAAAACAATTGTTTTCGGGGAGGCGAAGCAACGCAAGTAGGGTACAGCTAGTAAATAATAAAATCTGATTATGTGTACAATGAGTTTGAATAAAATTCGTATCTTATTTATACACATGGTAGGACAAAAACTTGAAACCATCTTTGGAAAAATAATTTGACTTAGAGCTGGTCTATTCACCTTCTGATAAACTGTCAGGTACTCAATCCGACGGATATAAACGCAATCTGTAATTCCATTGTTCTGCCAATTATCCGGCGCCAATCAATAGAATTATAGAACAGTGAATTTATCTTTTATTCATTTATTTATTTATTTATTTATTTACGGAAAACCCCATTAACAGTTTACAATTAACAAAATATAAAGTTATGAATATAGATTAGACATAAAAAAATTCAAAACTAACCAAAACAACCCCTCTTAATACTAGCCCATTAAATATAGTAAGAAAAACCACAACAGAAACCTAAAAAGCACAGAACCCTGAAAACTGACACCATTAATTTGCTTTTTAAATTCTCTCAAAGATATACCAAGTATTTCGATGTGATGGTCATTAACAACTCTAGAGTATCTATCCATAGGCGTATTAAAACCATAATTTGTACGGTGAAAAGGAATATAAAAAGATATGACATTGTGTCTTTATACTATTTCTAGTAACTATCTTAACATTAATTTTCCCTAACAAATCAGAACAATCAACTGTACTGTTAACAATACAGAAAAGTAAGCCCTGTGGTGGAGTCCGTGGGCTAGCCTAACCTAATTGTGATTATCTTTCACTATTTCTAGTTTAGATGGATAGAAACGAGGAAACCTATGCTGAACCTTCTCCACTGTGTAACTGTGAACCCGATGGTACGGAGACCAAACAACTGCACCATACTCTAGTACTCTAGTTTCAACCTCACTAATGCACAATAAGCATTTCTAACAGTATCAACAGAGGAACTGTTACAGTTTCTCAAAATACAACCCAACATCTTAGAAGCCCGTACCGTAGCTGTGTATATGTAATCAACGAAAGTTAGGCCTTCATCAAAAATAACCCCTAAGTCAAGAATCGTCCCCAAGTCTTTGATTTTTTTTACATATTTCAAATATTCCCCATTGATTGAATAAGAAGTATGATATTTTCTTTTCCCCTTATAAAATTTAATTTGACAACATTTTGAAATATTCAGAAACAGTTTGTTCGTACTGCACTAATCCTTGCAGATAGTTACCAGCAAGTTTATCTGGAGATGAATAAACCGGGCCTTAGTGTTGAATTGATATTTATTTTATTTTTCAGAATTCAAATCCTACTTTAGAAACCTTCGCCGATTTATTAGCCAAACATCCAGTGGAATTTTACTATGGCCGGACTCCAGAGTTCCTATTTTGTCATTGGCAATCTTTACGCCAGTGTTATTTATTACTCGATCAAGTGGATCCTGGTATGTCACCTGAGCTATCAACAATGACATTCGAAGAAGCAGAAGCTCTCATTCCGGATTCCGAATTGCAAGATCCTCCTGATAAGGCTTTAGAGACTGAATTGAAGCTGCAACAGAGACGGAATCTGAGAGAAATTCGTCAACTAGAAAACGAGGTTGGTAGATGGAACGTCTTGGTGAATGCTGTCACTGGGGAGTGTCCTGGTGAATTTGATCAACAAACTTTGGCAATACTAAGAGGCCGAACGGTGCGCTATTTGATGAGATCCAGGGAAGTTATTATTGGACGCTCTGGGAAAACCTTCACAGCCGATATTGATTTGGCTTTGGAGGGTCCTGCTAATAAGATTTCTAGAAGACAAGCAACATTAAAACTGAAAAACACCGGAGAGTTTTATATATATGCGGAAGGGCAGCGACCGATTTTTGTCAACGGCAATCTTCTGGAACCGGGAAACAAAGCGCGACTCTACCATAATGCCGTCTTGGATTTCCATACCTTGAAATTTGTTTTTCTGATTAATCAAGATTTGATTCGGATCATTCATACGGAGAGTGTGGAATAAAATGTAACCCCTCAACAGCTCCCACCATCTAATTTTAATTTTGTAACAAATAAAGAGTATATTAAATAAGCAATTAATTTTATTTCCACATTTTTACAAAGAGAAAATTATAATAATAATAATAATAGAAAATTGTCCCTGACAAAGGACGTATTACAATATTTTGTGTGTGTGATATACACAATTATCTCGCACATGATTACACAGAGTGGGTATGTTATTACAGGTATGTATGTGCTTATGTGCTGTACCTATCTAGTATCACGTCTATTATTATTTGAACAGGCAAAGCCCTATTTTGCACGATTGTCTTCTTAGTTATGGATGGAGATGGGAGTTGTTCAGGAAAATGTTCCCCTGTTAGACCTAATTCAGCGTTTTCATCTAGCACTCGCACTCTGCAATTTTATCGTCCGTGTCTCGTAATTATTTATTTGGTCATTTTTGAATGGTCTTCAAGTGCTATGGTAGTACATGTGGTATTGCATCTTAAGAGTTGGTAGCAATTTAGAATAATTGTACAGTCTAAAGCCTAGTTCTCATGCAGCGGAAAATCGCGTGGCGGACACGGAATTTTTAAACTTTGTCCCGCAGCGGGAAAATGTCAACTTTTTGCGATATCGTAAAAAAGTTAAATTAATTTTAACTTTTGCTCGAGTTTTTATCCTCTGTCACTTCACTTTTTACTGTCACCTGTGAGATGTATGGTACGACATTTGATAAAAATCACTAAAATATAATGTGAAATACCCTAAATATAACTAGAAATCCGCTTCCGGAATCTCGCTTCATGTGAACCGCAAAAATTCATCTTTGAACGGAAAGCGATATTCCGTACCCGCAACGCGATTTTCCGCACCATGAGAACTAGGCTTAACAAATGAAAAAAACACTTTCTTGCGACATTTCATAGATTTTGCGTACACACTCTGTAGATGATGATAACGTTATATCCGATTTATCAAGGGTGCCCATACCTTCTTTGTAATCTACCTATAGTTGGTTTCATAATTTTGCTTCCCGTTATCCTCAGTTTCTGCAAAGATTTTGTTTTTCTGTTAATATGGAACACCATAATCCGTAAGATATAATCGTAATAGTTCATAGTTAATAAACATTTATAAGTCCTATTTCATGAGCCTACTAAAAATGGGAGTGCTTATACAGGGTGTTCTAAATATTATGTACAAACGGAAGGGGGCGATTCTTTGGTTATTTTATGACTAAAATTTCTATAATAAGCATATATAGGTCCGCAAACTCTTCCTTACTTATCTACGGGGTATTGTAATTTTAATATTTTTGTAGTTTTTTCTTTATAGCTCCTGCATTTTTTGAGGGATTTAACTCAAATTTTGAAATATAGGCTACGCAATAGGAGCTTAATGATTGCACATGTCAAACGTTTGCCAGAATCTACAGGGTGATGTTTTTTTTTTAGGGTTCATGCTCCCTTTTCTGACTCTGAACTTTTTTGTGGTGCGCCGCTGGTAGATTCTAAAAAACCGAATAATTTAACTACCTTCACCGACCCTTAGTGACAAAAAAAATTAAAAAACAAATCTCTGTTATTAGGACAATTAGGTAGATAAAACTACAATAACTCAATAAACCTCTTCTACCTTCAGTAGCGACAATAGAGGTCCTGCCGCCATATTGCTCATTTCCAGCCGCCATATTCTTGCTCATTTCTAATAGGAATCTAGACGTAAGCCACGCCCTCGCCGCCATATTCTTGCTCATTTTCAATATGAATACATTAAAATTTCAACACCCTGTAGATTGGTAACGATCGAAGCGTTTGCGGACCTATGTTTATTAGAAATTTCAGTCATAAAATAAACCAAAGAATCACCCCCTTCCGTTTGCACATGATATTTAGGAACACCCTGTACAGTGTGTCCCACTAAGGTCGACAAGGTACGACATTATGGAAACCATAGACCTTACTTGAAAACGAATTAGCAGGAATTGAATTGCGGTTTGCACCAAAATGTAGAAATTTTTATTTGTAGATCAACTGATTCTGTTTTTTTTTTTTAATTTTTTTTTCCACATGGGCAAATTTTTGCGACATAATTTTTCCAAAGATTATGTTCGATTATGTTGGGTAATCCAAATGTCATTGGGTAATCCTCATATTACTCAACATAATCGAACACAACCTTCGATTATTTCGAACATTAAATAAAAAAACGATTTTTTTTTTAAACTTTGACACCCTATATCTCAGAAATTACGCATTTCCAGTCACATGTTTATGGAAAGTTTTTTTTCTTAAAATATTGTAAGGAATCACATCCCGAAGTTACAAACCGTACTTAGGAAACACCCTGTATATTTTTCTATTTTCTTACCACCCTGTATATGCTATTTCAAGTTTTAACAGTTTAATATTATTTTTTCACGAAGCAGAAACTTTTATGAAGAATAACTTTTTTCCGTAAAAAAGTTTCCCATATGCTGCCAACTTAAGTGGACATACTGTATACAGCATTTCTTATTTTTCTATCGAGCATTTTGATTTTTTTATGGAGCATTTAGTATTTTTTTAACATGCAAATTGCATTATTTTACCGTGCCCTAATTATGATCCTATAGATATTCGACTAATTAATTGAAAACTCGCCTTGAACCACTGAAATAGAAAAAAAAGCATCCGTTCCTTGATCGCTGTAGCGGAAGGGATTATACTCGATGATGTTCAGTCATTCTTGCCTGCCTGAAAAGATACAAAAGAATTCTAAAGCGAAAGAACTGAAGATTTCCTATTTTAATTTTAACAAATAAAAACCGAAAAAGGTCAAATTTATATGGGTTGATCGTTGATCGGCAAATTCAAATTTCAGTACAGTAGCTGAGGGAGGACACTACTACTACAGGATAGTCTATCCTCATAAGGCCTGTGTAGAACAAATCTACCCCACCACGCCAAATCGCCAGTTAAGACGTAGGAAGCATGTCGTTTCTCGCCTTGACGTAGGCAGTTTGCAAGGATGATACACACTACTACTACAGGATGGCCTATCATCGTAAGGTGTGTGACAAATCGCCCCCGCGCCTAATCACCAGTTGTGACGTAGGCAGCATGCTATTCTCGCGTTGACGTAGGCTGTTTAAACAACTGATGATTTAGTTATGACGTCGGAAATGATGACACCAATATGGCGGCGATTACCAAAAACGGTGCCGATAAGCAATCCTGTAGGTGATATCATCCTTGGGCAGTTTGCACCACAGGTTAGGACTATGCGGGCTTTGGCCTTATGAATACTTGGTTTTACTAAATTATTTAACATTCTACAACTACTTTTTGGATCTCGTTTGCATCTTCCTATTTGCCTATTATGTTTATCAAAATTAAACAACATTTTTCATCATAAATTTAAATTCTATACCATGATCGCTGGTGCAAACAGCTGACGTCGCTGACGACTTAGTTAATGACGTCGGCATTGGTAATAGTTACACCAATATGGCGGCGATTACCAAAAACGAGGCCGATAAGCAATCCTTAGTAGTGTGTATTATCCTTGCGTTGTTCGTTCGTTTCAAAATGTCCCCAGAAACGTTTAGTTTGTATACAGGGTGTTTCACGAACATCGGAACAGAGGCGTTTTGAGGTATTTTAAGGTGGATTTGAAAAAAACGCTCGGACACGTCAATTTTGTATTCGAGGAGGAAACTTTTTGACCCGATTGGTATTTCGCTAGAGACTTTGGCCCCTCTTTTTTATATAGGGAAGATGGATCGAATGGTACCTTGTTTCAAACGTATTTTGATTCTAGTTATAACTGTGTAATTTTTTTGAAACTCGAATGATAGAGCCGTTTTCTCGCGTCCACTTTTTTCAAAACAGGTTTGAAACGGGCAATGTTAATATCATTGCCCATTTCAAAACTGTTTTGAAAAAAGTAGACGCGAGAAAACGGCTTAGTTCTCAAGATATTCACTGTCAAAGTTGCCATGAGCTAAATAGGAAACAATCTTCTGGCCCTGGTATTACCAAATTAACACTCTTCTGACTTTCCTTCCAGACACGTCAATTTTGTCGGAACACGCAGAAAAAGAAAATTGGCGTGTTCGAGAGGAAAGTCAGGAAAGTGTTAATTTGCGAATAACAGGGCCAAAAGATTGTTTCCTATTTAGCCCATGGTCACTTTGACAGTGAATATGTTGAGAACTGATCATTCGGTTTTCAAAAAAAGTACACAGTTGTGAGTTGTGACGAGAATCAGAATACCTTTAAAACAAGGTATCACTCGACCCATCGTCCCTGAAAGTCACCCCACCCAGGGGGTGCACCCTAGCGAAATACCGATGGGGTTAAAAAGGTTCCCCCTTAAAATAACCCAAAACGCCTCTGTTTCGATGTTCGTGAAACACCTTGTATATGGTAATAATGGTGATACCCTTTGAAATATGAGGGTGCACACTAGTGCTATGAGTAATATGGTGCACTAAAGTAGCCAGTAGGTTTAAATTATAGGTATATAAGAACTATTATTGTGATTTACATCAGAGTTTATTAGTTAGAATTTTGTACTCTTGTAATTTGTAGTCTTTGCTACTACCAATAAATAAAAAAAAATTGGTAAATAACATTTTCGGCTTTACTCGCCCCAGAGCGCTCCCTGTCTGGGCGGTGACGCGGTGACGTCACAGATCTCTGTGGGAGTGCTTGGAGAGCGATTTTAGTTCAAACCAGATGGGGTTTATTTGAAATGTGCAATTCAAATTCGTCTGACTAAGGGCGGGTATTATAAAACTACTTTGAGAGTTAACTTAAAGTTAACTTCTGAAATTACATGTAATTCAAAAAGTTAACTTTTTGAATTACATGTAATTCCAGAAGTTAACTGTAATTCAAAAAGTTAACTTTAAGTTAACTTTTTGAATTACATGTAATTTCAGAAGTTAACTTTAAGTTAACTCTCAAAGTGGTTTTATAATACCCGCCCTTAGTCAGACGTATTTGAATTGCACATTTCAAATAAACCCACTCAGAGTCGCTTTCCAGTGACGCACTTTAAGCACTCCTGAGCTGCTCTAGTGCGCCCCGGACTGTTCATAGGCGTTCCAGGGCATTAGAGTGTCGCGCAACTGAACTGTTCGTTTTTCCTCTCCCCTGCCCTCTCAAGCACCTGCAATTTATGAATGCATGAAAAACACGTCGCTTGAATTAGGGTGCGTTCCAGTGGTACAATAGTTGTATTCCTTTCAAGAGCTTGAAACACTCGAGCTACTCGCTTCGGTGCTTAGTCGCCCCCGATTTGCAGGGAACATATGCGTGATGCAACAAACACTTTTCGAAAGGAATAAGCGCGTGAAGCCCCGGAGCTGTTTCGGAGCTCCTCCTAGGTGTGAAAGGAATAAAACTAATAGTGGTTTGGAGCACCAGAGTGTGAACCTACAAGCTACGGGTGTGGAGCACCTTAAAATTCGTCACTGGAAAGTGGCTAAGGGATAGCCGAACGCAACGTACTTTTAAACGGTTTGATTAACTCTGATCCATCGAATTTGACGGAGCAAGAAAGAGCGTTCCGCTCTCCGTGCGAGATTTGAGAACTTTCTATTGCTTGACGAACACGTCAACCTCGACGAAGCAACGCTCCGTTAAAAGCCGTGAATCCGCTTTGGATAGCTTTTTGATCAATCGGGTGCAAAAGTCGAAAGCGCTAAAAGGCAATCCATGACCTGCCAAAAACTTATTTCAATATGGTGGCAACGGTCATACATTGGTCATCAGCTTTTTTTTGCTCTTAATTGCGGTTTTTGATTTGTGTAAAATATTTTTTTTTAGAAAATGCTGGTCACGTCTGTTTCTGCAGAAATCACAAACCAGTCAGAGCGAATTTCATTGGTTGAAAACAGTCAGAAAACTAGTTTCAACCAATGAAATTCGCTCTGGTTTGTGATTTCTGCAGTAACAGACCCTATATGTATTGTAGTTGGTTGTGGACGCCGTTCTTATCGTAATAAAGTCTCGTTGTATATCTCATATCTGCGGAATCGAAAACGAAACATAGGTTTTTTTAGATTTTCTTTGACGAACTTTTACTAAACCCTCACCCTTTGGTTGTAGTGGGATTTTAGCATACGTTCTGTCAACATCCCGGTTTTGGGGTTTTGGACTAATAAATTCTTGAGCTAAGAACTCTCTACCGTTAAAAACGAAACTTTAAAACATCGAAAATCACACAGAAAACAGTTTAATGATAACAAAACGTCACGGTTGTCTGAAGGTAAATGAAATCCCTAATCCTTATGGCGCCAACTGCATTGCTTGTTGCTTGACCGTGGTGGCCATTTTTATTGGATTGTCCCATGAGTGGCCATGAGAGTCAGCGTTGCCATTCCTCATGATTTCACATGAGATCTCATGTTTTCATTGTCCATCTCATGCTCTCATGCTTCCAAGTAAGAATCTCATGATTTTTTTATCTTGCTTTATGGTTTGATTAAATAATGTTAGTTTTTTGCATTTTGTCAATTTTATTAAGCCGGCCGTGACGATTGTCTATCCCGTACATCACAACTACGATCACAACCAAGAATATGAAATGCGCGTGCATGCGAAGTGCGAAGCCATAACCCGATATGTCAGATCATTCAGATCCCACTGATCCCAGCCAGTTTTTTTTATGATATTTTATGTATATATATGTTTTTTTTTTGTGATATTTGTGTGTTTATTTTTTTGGTTAATTTTTTTTCTAAGTATTTGCCTAGTCACTAATCGATAGTAGGTAAAGTTCGTTTCACAAGGGTTTATAGTAGTTTATACTTGTAACTTGTAACATCGAAGACATCATAACTTGGAAAAAAGGGTTGTCGTAGATTAATTCATATGACACATTCAATTTTTTTTGACAAATTAATAGAATGACTTGTGGTTTAAGAACCGATGAACGTTTTTGACGTCATTGATTTGTTTCAGTTAATTTTTATTTGTTAAAAAAGGAATAGAAGGCAAATTATATCAAAAGTATAAACCCTCGTGAAACAAAGTGTATACCTATTTTGAATAAACATTTAATTTCGTCGATAGTCTGTTTTATTTTGATTGTTTTTTTGACCAAAGATGGTATGAAACAAGATCACGAGTTTTGAACAACTGTTTGATATTTATTTTGTAATGATCTCTCATGTTTTCAGTTATTTTTAAATCTCATGCTTTCTCATGTTTTTAATGACTCAAATTTCATGATATAGAAATTTTAGGTCTGGCAACACTGATGAGAGTCCTATTGCACTGCAGCATCAGCTGTTATCTGAAATTGAAGGTCTTCCAATCAATTGAGGAAGGAATAAAATTTGTATTGTAAACTCATTTAAGTCGCAATTTATCCAGTTCGCAAATCTTATTCACTAACAGCTCCTGGAGTAAACAGGATAATTTATTTGTTAAATTTCTGAAGTGTTAATTCGCGAAATGGCAGACATCAAAGCCTTGGAACATCCTACTTTAAAGGTACCTACCAAATATACCTACTATAGAAGCAGAATATACATTTTGCCAATGTATGGATATGGTTTTTTTTTGAATAATTGTAGAGACTAGCCTCAGTGCTGCATGACATTAAATGAACCTGGGCAGGCGCAGGAAAAACCCAATAGCCCAATTCCCTAAATCTTTATCTTAGTTTTGATTCCTGATCATGATTTTCTTATATAGTAACATTGATACAGGGCGAGATACAGGGTGTTCCTAATAATAATATTATAATTATACTACTATCAAAGGAGGTTATTCCTAATATTCCTTGGCTTATTTTATGATTGAAAGCTCCTGTTAAAGTTTAAAAAAAGAATCAGTTTTTCAGTGAAGTGATAACATAAACACTCTTTTGCCAATCTTGATGAGATTTTGAGTTTGAGGTTTGTTTGTAGTAGCAAGACTGAAGAGGTTACCCTGAGGATTAAAATTATGAAATCCAATGGCGTCTCGGAAGGGAAAAATATGAATAAGCAGTGGCGTACATGTTAAAATAATACTGGAATCTTTACATTATTTGCTGATGATACATCAATCAATATTGTGGCTAGGAACAGATGCTGACATATTAGGGGATATTATTAATAATGACATTAGGGCGATAAAGGACTGGTGCAGCAGCAACAAATTGATATTCAACATTGCAAAGACTAATATTTAAAAGTCGAAATATAAGTCTGCAATGTTGAATATCAATGTGTTGCTGTTGCACCAGTCCATTTCCATTATCGCCCTAATGTCATTATTAATAATATCCCTTAACACATTGAGTGCCCCATCACCAACATATTGGTGACAGTCATGTTTCCCAGGGGGCCTGTCACCAATATATTGGTGACGCGTAGTGTTTCACTGCAAGCCGCGTCACCGTTCCTTTGGTGACGTTATATGCATTTTCAATGGTCTGTATTCAAGGTGGCTCCCTGAGAAACATTTTCATATTTTTGGTGTGACTAGATAAATTCAAATATTCTTTTTATCGCCAATCTCGTCGCCAATTTATTAAAACTGTGAATAAAAGAACCTTGTAATCTCGGTCTTGAACCTTGCCATAGAAAGTTGATTTTCGGGAAATGAACCTATTTCTTGACAACCAAAACCAAGTAAACAAGGTTCGTTTTTTCAGTGCTCCTTATTGAATCTCTGCAGATATCTGGAATAACAAATACATAATAGTACAGAGATTTTTTCAGTGTCACCAATATACAGGTGACCCGGCTTGGGCCCGGGCAAGTTTTCCCTATATGACCATGGCACGCAATGTGTTAATATGTCAGCATCTGTTCCTAGCCACAATATTGATGCATCATCAGCAAATAATGTAAAGGTTCCAGTAATGCTAATGTGAGCTAGGTTGTTAATATATATAAGAAACACAAGTGTGCCAAGCAGTGGGCCTTGAGGAACCCCATGCTGAATACCCTGACCTGTTGACAAATCGTTCAGACCCTTCACAAATGGTTTCATTTCCTATTAGTCAAATATGAGTGCAGCCAGCTCAAAGTGACACCCCGAAAACCATACCGGGCAAGTTTCCGCAGCAGTAATCCCCGATCTACGCAGTCAAAAGCCTTCGAGAAGTCGCAGAACACTGCCGCAGCCATCTCTCCCTGGTTCAGGCCAAGATACAATCTCTCGAGTATTAATATCTGATTGGTTCTTCTTCAGTTTCACAGTCATCAGCATCAAAGTCATCTAATGAGTTAGAAAGTACACTTCCATCTCCTCCATAACATTGACAGTAAGAATCAAAATTCAGCTGATATTTTTGTGACACTGTCATATATTTCAATGACTGTAATATATTTCAATGACGGTCATATATTTTAATGGCGGTCAGTTATTATTTTGACTGCCAGAAAATTAAATCGATAAAAAAATAAATGACAAGAGTGTCGTAAAAATAAATGACGTGACCGTTGTTTTCATTTTGAATGTGTCATGACATTGTCAGAAAAATTGGCTTACATCCCTGGGTACTATGAAAGGGCCGAGGAAAGGGCACATAAAACAATTCAAAATTTCTTATCCTCCTTCTCCTGCTCTAAATGAAACGAGATCCAAAAGTTCTGGAACCCTCACAAGAGAGTTTGTGAAGGAAACATAGATCTGCCTGAAATCTCCTGCTTTGCAACGTAGGAAGCCCTCATTCTGTCATAAGCATACTGAACCAACCAAGCCTAATCTATAAGCACGTACTCTTAGATATCTATTCTAAACCCTTTCAAGAACGACTGCATTATGAGCAGCAAATTGGTTTGACCAAATATCTGATGAGTATTGAGTACCCACTCCAACATGGATCGCACAGTACGATGTTGGTAATGTATTCACAGACATATCAATTGTGGGCCTAGGTACGTATAAAGCCCACAAATCTAACACCCTTCGATACAGTATTGGTTATATGGCCATTAAATGACATATTGGAGTCAAACTACTCCCAAATCACAAATGCTTTTCACTTCACGTATATAAAGTTAGCAGTACACAGTCAGCAGTGCAAAATTTTTATGACTGGAAAAATTAGTGCTAATTAAGTGCTAATTAAATGCCAAGTTATCAAATTTTGTGCTCTTGTAGTTTCCGAGAAATGGCCTGCACTACTAGCTACCCTTTAAAGATAGCAGTGCACCATCCAGGAATGATCAAGAAAAGTAGTAGGGTGATATAAATGATGAAGAAAATTAAATGCCAATTAAATGCTACCATTTCCATGAACAAAATCTCTATTTTCAGCTTTTTTTCGAATATTTTTTAAAAACAACGCTGTGCACTGCTAGCGTTATGCAGTACACATATTGAGTTTTCATGAAAGAAGGGATTGGTAGAGTTTTCGACATAGGAATAATTTAGTGCTAATTAAATGCCAAGTTCACAAATTTTGTGCTCTTGTAATTTCCGAGATATGGCCTGCACTGCTAGCTACCAGTTTAAGATAGTAGCGCACCATCCAGGAATAATCCAGGAAAGTGGTAGGGCGATATAAATGATGAGGAAAATTAAATGCTACTATTTCCATGAACAAAATTTTTATTTTCAGCTTTTTCTCGCATATTTTTCTAAAAACAACGTGGTGCACTGCTATCTTTAACAGGTAGCTAGCAGTGCAGGCGATATTTTGGAAACTACAAGAGCACAAAATTTGTGAACTTGGCATTTAATTAGCACTTAATTAGCACTAAATTATTCCTATGTCGAAAACTCTTCCAATCCCTTCTTTCATGAAAACTCAATATGTGTACTGCATAAAGCTAGCAGTGCACAGCGTTGTTTTTAAAAAATATTCGAAAAAAAGCTGAAAATAGAGATTTTGTTCATGGAAATGGTAGCATTTAATTGGCATTTAATTTTTTTTCATCATTTATATCACCCTACCACTTTTCTTGATCATTCCTGGATGGTGCACTGCTATCTTTAAAGGGTAGCTAGCAGTGCAGGCCATTTCTCGGAAACTACAAGAGCACAAAATTTGGTAACTTGGCATTTAATTAGCACTTAATTAGCACTAAATTATTCCTATGTCGAAAACTCTTCCAATCCCTTCTTTCATGAAAACTCAATATGTGTACTGCATAAAGCTAGTAGTGCACCACGGCCACCACGTTCTTTTTAAAAAAATATGCCAAAAAAAGCTGAAAATAGAAATTTTGTTCATGGAAATGGTAGCATTTAATTAGCATTTAATTTTCTTCATCATTCATATCACCCTACCACTTTCCTGGATTATTCCTGGATGGTGCACTTCTATCTTTAACGGGTAGCTAGCAGTGCAGGCCATATCTCGGAAACTACAAGAGCACATAATTTGTGAACTTGGCATTTAATTAGCACTAATTTTTCCAGTCATAAAAATTTTGCACTGCTGACTTTGCACTGCTAACTTTATATACGTTTCCACTTCCCTGATGTATGTGTTAATTATTGTGCAAGAAGATCCCACTGTTCGGGTTAACCTGGAAAAAGTTCTCTTATAACATTTGGCAATATTGGGGTCTAAACCTTTTAGCAGAATAATCAGTATCATTTTGCAACAGTTGTGCGTCCTCCAGCGATGATACCTGATGATAGTTTGAGGTCATCTGCAAATGATGAAAATGTGGGCGCAAGGGAATTACCCACATTGGATATACATAGATTAAACAGGAACGGTCCACAGTGAGACCCTTGGGGTATGCTAGAAGGAACATCAAACTCCCTGAGTTCTCCCAACAACCAAGCTTATTGATGAGCCGGCGATGGTTAACCTTGTTAAAGGCTTTAGAGCAGTCTGAGTGAACAGAATCAACCTGGGAGACCTTTTTCCATGCTGTTCAAAACACAATTCTGATTTGTTGATGTTGAGCAATCCATTATTCTTCTTTTTTTTTCTTTATTGGGATTTCATCCACCTATGTCAGACTTGCGTAAAAACATAGATATGTGTATCAAAGAAGAAAAGTTCTGACTATACTGACGGCATCTATGACAACTGCTTTTTGTATGTCCGCTGATATTTTGTCATTTAGGTTTTGGTTTGCCTTAGGCTCTTTGGTACCAATCCCATAGAGAATACTATTATGGGTATTATTTCCACTTTTTTCAGTTGCGATACTCTTAGCATTTCTATCATCAGCTGTTCATATTTTGTTGTCTTCTCCATTTCTTTGCTTTCAATGTTTTGATTATTGGGTATTGCTATATCTAAAAATAGAGCTGTTTGGTTTATTTCTTGATAATCACAATATCAGGTCTGTTGTGAATCACCTGGCGGTCTGTCAGTATCGATTCGTCCCAGTATACCTACTTTATGTGTTTCGTTCTCAACAACAGGGTGTGGTTTGTATGCATAGTACGGCGCTTCATCAGGTATATAATGCCGGTTTTCCACTAAACGGACTGTTGAGTTTGTGTTTTGTCTATGTTATAAAACAAAAATAGAACTGAACCAAACACAAAACTCTTATTTCCATCAAGCGAACTACGTTTTGTTTTCT